GGTGATTGTGCACACATGCGGCTGTGCGTGAGGGGGAGAGAAAGAGGAGGGAGAGGGGTGTAGAAAAACAAGTGCACGTGCAAACGCGGCGCTCAATGGGAAACGGGAGTATAAAAATGGAGGGTGGGGAGGCTACTCGGGAAGTGGGAGGGGGACGGCGGCGGCGGCGGCGGCGGCGGCGGCGGCAGAAGAGATGCACGCGTCTCGCATCGCCGTATGCAGAACGCGAGCGGCAGGATGGAGAATCAAGCCAAAGGGAGAGGGAAGGAACAACTGAAGCATGTGAAGGCACGCGCGCACGCACGCGCGCGCAGGGGGAACACAGAGAGGGAGGGATGTACACGATGCGCTTGAAAAGCCACATGTGGGAGGAGAAGGGGAACCATCACCCGGCTGCAGGGCGCCAACAAAGGGGGAGAGAGAGAGGGAGAGAGAGAGAAGCAGCCGCATGTCGGGGCGCGCACAGACGGAACACCGTCATCACAGAGACACACACATACACATGCATACACGCATGCGTAGGCAGGTGTGCACGGGCGCGAGCGCAGGCGCGCCATTCCCTCCAGAGGGAAGACGGATCGTCCAATCGCAGGTCTAGGGGCAGATTGCGCAAGGGGAAGAAGAAGGGAAGGGGGAGGAGGGAGCGTGACGGCTGACCGCCAACAAAGGCCAACAGCCGGCACACCTGGCGGCGAGGGCGGCAAAAAGGAAGGGAAGGGGAGGAGGGGCAGGATGTCAGTCGGAAGGCCGGAGCGCTTTGTGGGCAGGGAGAGATGCGCCCCGCTGACCGATGGCTTGCCGACAGGCCACCAGGGCCCGAGGGCCTTCTCAAACCCAAGGGAACTAGCTAACAAGCGTACCTGAGGCTCATCAGGGGGGGGGGGAGGCAAGGGAGGAGAGAAGATGGCAGGATTGGTGGAGGGACCGGGAGAAAAGAGGAGGATGAAGCAGCACACAATGCACAGCACGCGGCGCACATGCAAGGCACCACCGCATGCGCAGCACTGGGGATATAAGGAGGCATTCCGAAGAGAGAGAGAGAGAGAGAGAGAGAGAGAGAAAGAGAGGGTGTGTGTCAATATATATGCACGTGTGTGAAAAAGAGGAGGGGGGTGCTTGGATGCACATGGCCCGCTCTCCTGGATCGGCACAAGCACTTGTGCCCATAGTACATGACGGGTGCACGTACGCATGCGGAAATCCCTTGGCGGATTTCTCCCAGAGGCCCTCTCTTGCTCAATCCTGTGCGCACGCTTTCACATACACACACGGCGCAGGGAGGGATAGAGAAGGAAGCGAAGACGAACGAGGAGAAGAGAGAAGTGGGTGCGTGCACACGGAGGCCGAGGAGGAGAAGAGGCGCACAGGGGCACAGGGAAAGGGCAATGTCCAAGGATACACCCAGGCGCGGTGTGTCGGCCCAGCCCGTCCCCGCCGCTGGCACACCATCGCCTTCTCCTTCATTTGCTCACGTCACGGCCCCTACGGCCGGCCGGCCTGCCTGGACACTGTCGCTCCTGCTGCTTGTCTCGTCCCCCCACACCCCCGGCCTACGCCCTCACTCCTCTGGGGTCCTGCCCTCTCCAAAAGAATAAACCCTTCACACGTGGAACACACGAGAGAGAGAGAGAGAGGGAGGGAGAGGGGGGGAGGGGGAGGGAGGGCGAAAGAGAAAGAGCGCTGGGGGGAAGGCCAGGGAGAGGAGAGGTCACCTTGCATGATGCCACACAACACGCCGAGGCGTGCCTTATTGGTCGGCCGTCCCGACGGGCATGTTGGTGGGGAAGATGGCACGGATCTCATTTTGAGAGAGGCCGGCATCGGTGAGGCGCTTGATGGTCTGAGGCACGGCGTGGGCCGGGATAAGGCGCATGGCCAGGGCCGGGCCGGCGAACTGAAGCTCCGTGGGAGTAAAGTCAAAGAGCTCCGGCAGGGCGCGAGTAGTCCGAGAGGGGGAGCCCCCGGTGCCGGCATCCGGGGAACCCTGGCCGCCGGCGGCCGCTGAGGAGGATGAAATGACGTCGTTCGGAAGGCGGGTGCCAAACTCGCGGAGCTCCGCAAAGAAGGGATGGCTCATGGCCTGCATGGCAGACAGACGGCGAGAGGGAACATACTCGAGGAGCTTCTCCAGCAGGTCGACCGCCAGCTCGACATTGACCATGGCCGAGGGGGTGGCCGACGCCTCGCCGGGGCTGGTGCCGGTCAGGTGCGAGGCCGTGTGGAACAGGCGCTGCAGGGGCACCACCCGGACCGGGGTCAGCCGGGCCGGCAGCGAGCCGGAGGGGTTCATGGCGTGGAGCTGCTCGCGCGTGGGGGTGCCCAGCACGCGCATGACCTTGACCAGCTGGTCGATGCCGGACTCGCCGGGGAAGAGGGCCTCCCCGCGCATGAGCTCGGCCATGACACAACCGGCCGACCAGATGTCAATGGCCACGGTGTAGTGGGTGGCACCGAGGATGAGCTCCGGCGCGCGGTAGTACCGCGAGCAGATGTACGCCACATTGGGCTCGCTCTGGACCAGGGCCTTGGCGCTGCCGAAGTCGCAGAGCTTCAGGATGCCGGTGTGCGGGTCGAGCAGGAGGTTCTGCGGCTTGATGTCGCGATGGCAAATGCCCATCTGGTGGATGTAGGCCAGCGAGCGAAGGAGCTGGTACATATAGAGCTGTGGGGGGGGCGGGGGGGGGGGGGCGGGCGAGGGAGGAGTCCGAAGGTGAGCGAGAAGGGTCGCGCGGGTGGAAGCCGGTGGGGAGAAAGAAGGAGAGGGGAGGGGGGGGAGGCGCAGGCGGAAAGCACAAACCTTAACATAGATCATGGGGACAATCTGCTTGAACCGCGCGTAGTGGCGGATAGCGCGGTAGACAGTCTCGGGGATGTACTCAAGCACCAGGTTGAGGAAGATCTCGTCGAGCTGGGCACACAGCCGCGGGGTGGCGAGGGTGTTGGGAGGGGGGGGGACAGAGAGAGAGAGAGAGAGAGAGAGAGAGAGGGAGGGAGACGACGAGGGAGATGTGAGCCAGGGAATCCGGGGAAAGGGGAAGCGAAAGAGAGGGTATTGCGAGAGGGAGACGGAGAGACGGATGCACCTTCTCGCCCTTGGTGTAGAAGAAGCACAAGAGCTTGACAATGTTCGGGTGGCTGACCATGCGCATGATGTCAAGCTCGCGGTTCTATGAGTGCGCGCACGGTGCAGGCGGGTATGTCAGTGAGGGGGAGAGCGGAGAGGCGAGGGAGGGGGAGGATGGGCCATGCATGGACCGCCGGAGGGGCACACAACGCAGATAGGACAGCGACTGTGATCAGCCACGACGGTACCTTGAAACGGCGGTCCTGAAGGACCTTCTTGATGGCCACCAGGTGGCCACCCTCCACCAGGCGGGCCTGGTAGACCACGCCGAACGAGCCCTGGCCGATGGCCTTGGTCGGGGTGTAGCACAGCTCGAAGGTCTTGTCGGACTGGGCTTCGTTGGCGATCATGGTGATAATCCGGTTTCCACCGGCTACAGTGAGAGACACCGGGCGGCGACGATGGAGAGAGGGGGGGAGGGTTAGGGAAAAGGGAAGAGCAAAAAGGGAGCAGCAGGGGTGGGCGGGGAAGGGGTGGGGGTGGGGGAGGCGAATGGGGCAAGGAAAAGAGCTGACAGGTAGGGGAGAGGGCGCACAGGAGGAGGAGGTGGTGGTCATGTCTGCGAGGGGGCTTCAGGCGAAGAGAGCAACACTGATCCCGCTCGAGAGGGTTGGGTGACACACAGAATGCAGGGGGGGGGGGG